AGGCTCTGTGTAGAGTCCCCGCCATTCAGAGCCTATGTTTGCTGCCTTCTGATCCTTCTGTGGAAAGAATAAGAAGATGATTCCCAGGGTCCAAATGAGTAAGGAGAGAGCTGAGGCTGGGAATCAACAAGGGTCCCTAAAGTTTAGAGTACAGTGGACCCTTGAATAATGTTGATGGGGAAAAAAATCAAATCCAGAAAGGGGTTACCATCTGCGTGGAGTTGGCAAGTTCTCCCACATCTGTCTGGGTTTTCTCCAGGTACTATGGTTTCCTCCCATATCAAGGACATGCATGCTAGGTGAACTGGTGCGTCTCAATTCTTCAGACCTGAGTGAGTGTGGGTGTACTGGAGCACACACCCTGTAGTGGACGGGGGTCCTGGCTCGGGTGGTGTAGGGTAAAGAAAAGGTCAGGCTTTTCTGCCCTCCTGCCATCAGGATAGATGATGGATCATTGAGGTCCTGAATGCATGCCTGATGGCGGGCACCTGGAGTAGGGTGTGGGCAGATGTAGATAGGATTCACCTGGGCTAAGACTGTGCTTTTAAGGGCAGCGTCACGGGGACGCCAGCAGAAGCTGAGAAAGAAGCCCATGAGAAGCCAAGAGAGAAGCAAAGCAGCAGAAGCAAAGCAGAGAACACCAGAGAGCCCAGATAGAGTGAGGATTTGCTTGGGGCTGGGAGGCCTGCCAGCCTCCCGGCCCCCCAGTGCCCCTGCCTGCCGTGTACCTGGTAATCCCAACAAAAGCCTGCAAAACCACTGAGGACTCTGACTCCTCCTTTACCCGGTCTGCATGGGATCAGAAAACCTGCCCCGTGTCCAGTCCTGCCCCTACAGGTGGGTTCCCACCTTGGCTGTTGGGAGAGGCTCTTGCCACCTGAGACCCTGATTACCTTTTATATTTAAGAGCCTATGAATTAAAGTTTTGCACATTCTAACTATAATAATTCCAGTATTATTCAAGACCCCCCCCCAAATTTAGCAGTGCTCTCAAAGGAAATAAAAACAAAATAATACTAGCAGAGAAGCAAGAACAATAGTGAATTGGAAAGTGAATGCATGAATGCAAGTATAACAGGAGAGGTGTTCTTTTTTTGTAAATGTTTGATGATGCCTTCTTGTGAGCAGCAATATGCAGTAGGGCCACTTTTTAAAAATGTCACTATACATTGCTTAGTTTAAAATTGCAGTTGCTACTTTTTAAATTTTTTTTCACCACCACCTCTTATCCCCCTTTGACCTAAACCTCCTGCCTCCTAACTTTGGAAGGTTCACTTCATTGATTTGTAGTTTTAAAAGTATCTTGCTCTGTTGACTCCACTATAGAAATGTGCAATATTTGTGTTTGTGGCTTTGACTTGCTTTACTGTTATACACAATTCCCTCGAGCTCCTTCCATGTTGCTGTAAATGGCAACCGTCCCTCTTTCCTCACAGCTGAATAGTATTCCACTAAATAGTATTCCAGCTGAGTAGTAGTCCATTTACTGTGTGAATGGACCACAGCGGCTTGAGCCAATACGCTACGAGTGGGCACTCAGGTTGTTCCTGAGAACCTATGAGTGATGTGAAGTGAGGACTTCTTGCACCTGCTGCACACCCTGGCCCACACCTTATTTAACACACACAGTTTTAGTTCCAGGATCAGTAACAGAGGTGAGTGCCATGAAATCCCTCCACACCATCTTCGAATGGCGGCCTGGCAGGTGTTCTGAGACAACGTGAGAGGTGGCACTCTGGCTAGGGCCTCCATCACTGGAGGCAAAAATCCCAGTCTAATGGTCCAGAACCAGCCACACACGTGAGGACACCTTCCTCCTCATGGGTGGGAGTGGCGCAGGGCAGTGTGGGTGCTCTCTGGTGCTGCATTTGATTGGAAATACAAGGCTCTCACCAATCCCCACCTCCAGGAACTTTGACCTTTATCTCACAGTCATCAAAAAGAGTCAAAGTACAGGATAGGCAAGAGAGAGGTGGTTAGTGCTTTGCCAGGCAGAAATGCAAATGTGCTTCAAGAAACACCATCAGAAAGTGGGGTGACTCTCTAGGACAAGACACTTCAGTCCAGTCATAACACCCCACAGAGACTCAGCATCTATGGGACTGCAGCTACTTAGGCCGTCCATCCTAAGGGGCTTCTCCAAATCAACCCGAGTGAATCAGCGGGCAGCAAGAAGAGAGATCGCCTCATCACCCAGAGTAACTTGCCCCATAAGGAATTTCTTCAGAGCAAATCAAAAGCACTCGAAATCTTAAAATGCTAACTCCAAACCAACACTACAAATTCTGAAATTATGTGGCTCAGTGAAGCACTCTGATCTTCAAGAACGATTCTGTGCTCTTCAAGCCTCTGGTGTACCTACTTTTCTTACTCATTTTAACCACATCAAGAAATCCCCTAAGAGATTCCATTTTTCTCAGCAAGGAAAGTTACAAAAGAGAATGCGAAATGGGCTCGTTTTTTGCAAGCAAAATGAAACACTTTTATGTTTTATTCATGCAAAGTGAAAACCCCTTTCCTTTGCAGCATTACAAATTGAATTTGCTCTTGTAAATTGCTGTTAAAAAAATCAAAAGCAAGTGTAAAAAAAAAAAAAGGCAGGACTACAAAGGTCCCTTCTTCCCTTCTTCTAGGGAATGAAAACTCGGGGGAAACATGGGGGAGAAAATAGGGACTTTCACTGTAGCACAAGGACCACCAGCCAGCACATGAGCCTGCTGAGGTCGACAGCGGATGTGGAAGCCCAAGAGATTCCTAAATGACACCTATCGGCAAACATTGCATAATAAGCAGTAGTTTAAAAAACACGAATAACCTGGCTCACATTTCAAACACATAACCAAGGCAACGTAACCCAGGTTAAGCTGGTAATACTGGGGTCTCTTGCTGTTCGGTAGGACAACTGAGCTCCTCATGTCTGGGATGGACTCCCATCCTCTGTATCAAATGAAGCCTCGCTGACTTCTCATCCTTTCCAGAACCGTCCTGTCTTTGAAAGGAAGCCATGTAATTAATCACCTCTGCTAGCACATGATGCTTAAACAAGTGAAGAGCTAATATTCGTTCAGCAATTGCCACGTCCCATGACTACGCCATCACTACACACACAGGCACAGAGACTCAGTGTGTGGTCTTTATAATGATGCCCATTTTCCAGATGAGATAAATGGAGTCCCAGGACTTGACTACTTTTGTCAATTCGAGTTTGAATCATTTTTTTCCCCTCCATGAACATGCAACTTTGGGTCTCATTTTAAAGTGGGGGCGGGGGGGTGGGGCCTCCCTGGTGGCGCAAGGAGTTAAGACGCAACCTATGAAGCTATCCGCAACCTCTGCAGCATGAGTTCTATCCCCAGCTAGTCAGGGAGCAACCCACATGGCGCAGCAGACCTCTCCTGACTCGCCCACTGCTCTCCTCAGCAGTGTATTTCTGTCAATCTGCCTGTTCTGTTCCCCACTCTTGTCTCTGGTGAATCCTCTCACCACCCCCACCCACCACACCTCTGACCTGTACCCCAGCTCTTGTATGCATATACAAATAAATCTTTAAAAAAATAAAGTGTGGGGGTAAGCTGAATACTTCCTCAATGAATCCTTTCAATCTAACCTTAAGGAAACACAACCCCATCCTGTGAAATGAATGTCACCTTGGCTCCAGCCTTAAAAACAAACAGAGGATAGGAACCAGGAAAGAAACAAGCATCTGGCACCCTTCTATCAAGCTAAAGAGTTTTAATGGATGACCAAATAGCATCAGGTACTTTCCTTGTGAAATTAATCAATGCATATCAGGCGTCAACTCCATTGCTACAGCTCAGCCAAGCAAGTGAGGGACAGGTGTGTGCCAATAAAATACCCACTCACTCCCCCCACCCCCACCACCCCGCAGCACCCCAGCAACTGGCCCAGCTGTCACCGCTCACTCTGCTACAAAAGCTCCGAAACACAACTGTGCTTCCAGGAAGGTTTATCCAATCACCAGTCAGAGCACACGGCAGCTCTCTTTGTTGTAGACTATTTCTCACGTCTGGTTCCAGCAGAAGGGCTTGTTCTTTGATGGATGAATGTTTAACCATTTTCCCTTCTGGCTTACAAATTGGAACTGAATCAAAAGACCATCAAATCTGCCAAAGCCCAGCCTTAGAAGACAAAGGCGAGGATAAGCCAAGGCAGAGCCCCTTAAAGAGAACCCCACGAGCTGATAAACCAGAATGCTCCGGAGATACAAGTTGAGGAAAGCCATGTCTCTGTCATCTGGGATTTTTCACCCGCTTCTGCAAGATGCTCTTTTCCATTTTCAACAAAGCACTAGTTCAGTGTGGCTCATCCCTAAATGCTTGGAGATCCTTAATTAGGTACCTTGACAGTTGCCAAAGATAAACTATAATTTAAGAGTTAAATGCATTTAATATAGTCAAGTACTTGACATTGGTGTCCAAGTGTGATGTTTGTGACAACTGCCACTTTGTTGGTTGGGCTCTGTTTCCAGTCATGCTGGAGAACAGAAAATCCACAACACATCTAAGTAGAAGCAGTTGCTATAAATAATACATTTTCAGTAAAGTTTCAGAAAAATACACAATGAATGGAATTTTGATACAAGATTTAATGATCTACAGATTGGAATTAAAGACGGTACAACCTCTCCCTGCGAGCAAGCCCTCTAGGAAGCAAACCGCAACAAGAGGACATTGGAAGTGGCCAAGATGCAACTGAATGAAACGGAGGATCAAACAATGAGGGGAAAAAAGGCGGGGATTCAGAGAGCCAGGAAACTTCGATGCATGAGGAAGAGAAATACAGAACCCCGAAAGAGCTGACGAAAAGTTCGAGGTATAGAAATGAGGAAGGGAAGTATCTTGGCGGGTTTATGAGGCAGGGAAATAGAAACATGCTTGAATTTCTTGCATTTCTAGACGGAGTCTAATGCCAACTTTCTTATCAGCGCATAAGAGCAGTGACACCGAACTTCAGAGCAAAGCTAAGCCCAGGGCACTCACCGGCCATTGTCGCGCCCCACGCCCCACACGCGGATGCTCACGATGGGCTGCGAGTGGAGCACTGTGCGGTCCATGGGGTCCACCAGGCTCAGCGTGTCGTTCTCCAGGATCAGGTACATGTCCTTCCCCTGGGATTCAGCAAGAAAACAAGTTACCATCCTTGTGAAGCTCTTCAGCCTCACGGTGCTCATGACTCTAAGGGTATCATTTCAATGGTTAAAACAAGCCACCTCTGGGTCTACAACTTGTTTTCCTAAGAGAAAAACATTCTTTTGTGACGAAAATATTCATAAGTCTTTCCTGTTTACCTCATAGACCAATTTCTCTCTTCCTTGCCAAGTCCTCTGAAATGTATCCCTTGCCTGCTTTCCACTTGGCTCTGAATTTTAATTATTATTAATACGAGAATTTTTAAGAAAAAAGGTTAAATAGTAGATATCTGGAAAATCTGGTCTTTTACCAACTCTGTGCCCAGCATCCTCTGGGCAGACCCTGCCAGGGATCCGTTTGATGGTCTGTCTAGGCCCACAGCGATGTCGTATTCTTCAAAGTTGACACCACTTCATCTCTGCGTGATTTTGCTGACAAACAACAGGCAGAGACAGTGACTTTGCTTTGACTTAATCTCACATCCTCTGGCACGAGCTTTAGGTACACTGGCTTTTCAACTCTCTGACTCACCCTGCAAGCTTGACTTGCTGGCAGACAGGGAACCTGAGGTTTTTAGGGGAAGTCAAGGCCCAGGCTCTGACAGAGGCTACATGGATGGACCCCAGCACAGGGGAGCAGGGGTGTCTTATATTCTGCTTTCTGTTCAGGTTTTCAAGGAATTGAAACCTCTCTTCATATATGTGGGCTCTCTCGGGGGACAAATCGCTAGATTATTCAACTTGACTTCCTGTGCAATTCCTCAGGCAGAATTTTTAAAGAAGTGATTCAACTTTGCTGTACAACTGAAACACCATGTCTCCTGAAGGCCACAGTCACCCAGATGCTGTAGCACTGACGGTAGGGCGGTCCACCTGGGCAGGGCAGTGAGGCTTCTTGGTGACATTCAAATCCCAAACCTGCACAGATAAACTGCTCTTTGATCTGGTTTTTGAGAATAAAGTTTTAGATTTTCATCAAAGGTGCTCAGAGTAAAGTCCTACTGTGAGGGTGGCAGATATGTGCTTTTCTGAGACTTGGCTTGCATATATATTTAAGCTCCCAGTCTATGGCTGTGATCCAGGATGATCTGAAACCTTCCCAAAACCCCCTCCTGGTGGGAGGACTGGCAGAAAACAACTGGGGTGGACTTGTAGCTACAGACCCCACTGAGCCTGGAGCAGCAGGCTGGCTGCTTAGGTGACAGCGCCCCCAAAGCCTTTGCTGCAGAATTGCAGCTCATGCGAGTTGCTGCAGAGCAGGGTGTCACTCTGGGGACATTTCAAGGTCACAGCTGTGTCCAGATCCTGGGCAAAGACCCAACGCTAATTAACTAGTTTGCAGAGTAACATCGAGGTGCAGGTGCTGGGGAGATTCAGTTTTCTGGCTCCTTACAGCAGCTGAGCAACCTGACCCTAAAGCAATAGTTGGCAGAGCCAAGGGGAAGAGCCAAGCTGCAGTGGTGGGCTGCAGCCCCCCCCTCAACCTTCCTCTGAAGGTGGGACTCCTCTTCCCCTGCCTTTGGCAGAGGGATGCACAATCACAGGGCTGCAGAGCTGGAACCCAGAGTCGGGCAGGTCCCAGTCCTGCCAGCAGGTGAGGAGTTTGGCCATAACTGAGTGCCTTCTGGGGGTTACTTACCTCTCCCCAAATGCCCACTGTATCTCGGATGTCATTTTTGCAGTAGGAAAGCTGCCTGATGCAGTTGTTGACAGCGACGCTGCTTTTACCGGGAGCGAGGTCTTCCTCGGCCATCTCCACCCATCCCAGGGAGCGCACAGCGAAACACTAGCAGACAAGTCAAAGAGAAGAGATCTCACTCACTGGTCACAGCCTGACAAAATCCTCCATAAAATATGTGTGATGAGCCTTTAAGTATTTATACAATCATCTCATTTAGCTAATGGATCCTCTATTGTTGGGAAATTTAACTGTGTTTTGCTAATTAAAAAGAATAGTGATAAATATCTTCTTGCCCAACTTTCTATGTAGTGTGTGTGTGTGTGTGTGTTCACAATCTTTCTTAGACTAGATCAGCAGGTGTAGAACTATAGGGCAACGGATAAAAAAAAAATTCTAAGTTCCCATTATCTAGGATAAGGTCATTTTTTTTTTTTAAAAGATTTACTTATTTATGCATACAAGAGCTGGGGTACAGGCCAGAGATGCGGGGGCAGGGGGCAGGTGAGAGGACTCACCAGAGACAGAGTGGGGAACAGAACAAGCAGACTGATTGAAAAGTGCCTCTCAACAGGCACCTTGCAAGGCTTCCAAAAGTGATCTTCATAATAAATGAAGAAAAGCAGCCAAATGTCCCACAGTGACCACATTCAGTCCAGTTCAGCCTTTATTGTTTAGCCCCCATGCCCAGATAGGGGTGCCTCTTCCGAGTTGCAAGTCACACTCTGGGGTCAGGGGGTGGGAAGCATCAAAACACAGAAGGCATCCCACTTAGGGGAACAGTTATGGGGAGGTCCTTATGTACTAGAGGGGAAGCACCCAGGTACCTGTGTGACCCTGCAGCAAAAGATCTGAGCAATAAGGGTGCATAGGGTGTTTTTTACAGATACCTCAAGAAGAGGTCATCCCTGTGACAAATGCAAAAGCCGCCCACTATCCTGTGTCCTGGGCAGGTTCTGGGAGGTGGCAGAGCACGAGCAGCCACACTGGAAGTCACCGGGGTGACTGCGGCCAGTTGAGGGCCAGCTCCTCGCCAGCATCTAGGATGTTTGGCACTGGCTGCCCGCCCCATCTGCAGCGCTGCTTTCTTAATCCCAGACTCAGCCATGCTTCTTCAGGTGGATGTAAACCACAGGTGCACACCTCCCCTGTTTCATTAAAACCCACAACTTCTTGGGCCTGAACCCATCAAGTGCCCCTCTCTGCTTCTCCTGGTGGCTCTTTGCCCCTTCATTGTAGTTTTGCAGCAACTTAGTTAAATCACAATGCCACGTCCCATTGCCTGGCCAGCTCTTTTGATTGGGCTATCTACCCAAAAAAAAGAACAGTGCCCCCCACCCAGCATCAAGAAGGGAAAAAAAAACTTGATAGGAAGAATATCTGTATTATCCCAAGCTACTTTAATAGCACAAAATGGGCACAGCACAGTTGTATCATCTGAGGCAGGAAACAAGGCATTGATCAAACCTCAAAGGTAGTTACTTGTTTCTCACCTCAACCCTCTGAGGTTGCTACTAAGCTACTGTATCCATTTTACAGATGAGGAAAGTGAGTGAAGCACAAGTTAATAACTAGGATTCAAGCCCAGGCAGCTGACTTTTGGGCTCCCCCTCTCCATCACTCAGCTATATGCCTGTGATTGTACAGGTGGGACAGTATCCCATGGGGCCAAAGTCCACAAAGAAGGTTCAAGAACATAGCCAGTGACATCCATTAAGTGTAGAGCATGTAAAAGTAGGGACAGTCTGGATTCAGATGTTGGCTCTGATCCTGGGCAAGTAATTTAGAAGTCCCAATTTTTTTATCTGTAAAAATAGAAATCATAATAAGCTGATAGGGTTCTTATGAGGAAACAATAATATAATACAGGTAGAAAACCACACAGAAAACACTCAGTGAGTACGGCTGCCTGAAAGAGCACATGGACACAGTGCCACAGCCAATGTAATTGGAAGCATCAAAAGAGGAAAATGAAAGGAGCAGAGGGTTTGTAATGAGTGTGACCACATGTTTTAATTGTCCCAGAATAACTCTGGTTTATGTTTGTTGTTCTGGAAAATTATTAAGAGTAGCTTTTATTTAAAAAAAAATTTTTTTACTCTCAAAATGTGCCCCAGTTTGGATAATAAGCTATTAAAGTCACTGTAGTCAAAATTCCAGTGATCTCAGTGTCTGGCATGGAAACCAAGGCTGGGATGAGACACACAGGAGTAGGACTGGAGATCCAGACCCACAGTAGCTGTTACCAAAATCTTGGTTTTCCTGGTGCAGGTGAACCCTGAGGCCCCAGTACGACTGTGGGATGGATGTAAGCTCTTAAAACTAGAAGCCAGGAACACATTTTTCTACTTTCTCTAACTACCTACCACAAAATCCTATACCCCGTGAATACACAAAAGAGTTTATTAAAAATAAAGAAGGTAACAAAAAATACTGGCTGTTTTTCATCTCAGAAATACATGGATTTCAAACTAAACAAGCTCTTTGTTGGCTAAGAAATGGGATCACTCAATGTCACCACAGGACTTTCAGTACATTGTTTTGTCATGCTGATTTTACAAAGCAAGAGCCCTAACTATGCCACTATAATAAATGCATTTAAATGGTCCTTGTGCAGACCTGCTGTTGTCATTTAGTTTCTGATCTGAAAAACCTCATTCCTTTGCAGGCAGCTAAGGTTAGAAGAAACTGGTACATGGGAATAATCCAGTTCCACCAGCGAGCAAGCTGGGGCTGCCTCCCACCCAACACAGCTGCAAACAGCAACCTGCACTGTGTGGTGCTGCCCCCTTGTGGCCAGGGAGGTTAATAACCGCTTTTCTCTAAACTCAGGAAATGATGGTTTATGTCATCGGCTCTGAGAATATGGGAAGAGCTCAAAATATTAATCAACCTGCTTTTAAAATGCTTCTTTTCAATTTTTAAAAAATAAATCAACACTTTCATTTCTTCAACAGCTCTTAATCAAAATGGCAAAAAAATGAGCCATGGATCAAGGTATGGACTGTGTAATGAGGTGTCTGAATTCAAATCTGACTTTATTATGTACCAGATGGTGACTTTGGGCAGGTCACTTCAGGTTGCTAAGTCTTAGTTGCTTCATCTGTAAAATGGGAATAATAATAGTACCTCTACTTTATGGTATTGTTATTTAGAGTACCGTTATTTCTAAATGAGATACTGTAGGTAAAGTGCTTTGCATAGTGTGTGGCATATAGTAAGGGCTGAATAAATGTTTATTATCATTATTGATAAATTTTAACTCTTCTATGTGTGTATTTTAAAGATTTTTCTAGTGTAGGGTAAGGAAAAATGTCAGGCTTTTCTGCCCTCCCGCCATCAGGATAGATGATGGAACCCTGCAGTCCTGAATGCATGCCTGATGGCGGGCACCTGGAATAGGGTGTGGGCATAGGTAGATGGGATTCACCTGGGCTAAGACTGGGCTTATAAGGGCGGCGTCAAGGGGACACCAGCAGAAGCCCAAAGAGAAGCCGAGAGAGAAGCAGCAGAAGCCAAGAGAGAAGCAGAGAATGCCGGATAGCCCAGATAGAGTGAAGACTTGCTGGGGGCTGGGAGGCCTGTCAGCCTCCGGCCCCCCCAGTATGCCTGCCTGCTGTGTACCTGGCAAACCCCAATATGAGCCTGCAAAAAGCCACTGAGGGCTGAGGACTCTGACTCCTCCTTTACCTGGCCTGCATGGGATCAGAAGACCTGCTCAGTGGTCCTTCCTGACTTGATACTACATCTAGTTTAACAGATTTTAGCCAAAGCTACCATGGAAAAGAGAGGTAAAGATTTGAGCACACCACCCGGAGGGCACCCCCAAAACAGAATCCTGGGTCCCATCACTATAGTCTGATTCAGCAGGTCTGTGTTGGGCGAAAGAATCTGCATTTCAGCTGATGCTGATGTTGCTGGCCTGGAGACCACACTTTGAGAGCCACTGCTGTGCATGGTGACCCTTTCCTACAAAAGTCATGCTCTCCCTAAGACTGGTCCTGAGAATAAAACCTAGTGCAAACCCCAAGACTTCCATTTATTATTTGTGATCTTGGACAAGTTGGTTAACTTCTGTTTCCTCATCTGTAAAATATGGATATTAAAAATACCTGTCTCACAACAGCCTATGATGTGTTGGGAGGATGAACAGGGCTAAATGTGAGCTTGCAGCTGCTCCTGCTGCTGTTGTTTGTATGATGGGCACTGAATGGAACAGGGTCCTGGCTTAATGCAAAGGGACACAGCTTTTGGCCTGAGGCTTCCTTCTCTCCCATTAGTTCCATCTTCCCCTGCACTGGAATCAAGTTTTCCTATCTTGGCTGCAAACACTCAACCTGTTTCCCTTCTGTTTCTTTGGGTTCTGTATTAATAGCAAATAATATGTCTGGACAAAACCTTCTGAAACACGTGTAGAGGGACAGAATAGGGTGCCAAGGCTTGGTTTCTATGCCAGCTGGTCCTGAGTTGGAGTCCTATATTCCAATCAGCAGTTCCGCAGCCTCATGAGCACAAGTTTATTGGATTGAAAATGCTAATCACACTATGCTCACAGGACTTCCAGGAGAGCCCAGGATCTGAGGAGGGCTCACAGGACTTCCAGGAGAGCCCTGGATCTGAGGAGGGCTCACAGGACTTCCAGGTGAACCCTAGGATCTGAGGAGCGCAAGGTGCTGGCACATGGCAGGCCACAGCAGATGTTTGCTTGGTGCTGGGTTGTCTGCTCCAGGAGTCTTTATCCTTTCACTCTGTGTTGTCCCACAGGGCTTCTAGTTTCCTTGCCCTGAGCTTTACTGAGGATGAACAAGATGAGAGTGCACTGACAGAAAACTGGGGACCTGGTCCCTGCACCGTGCAGTGGGGTGAGGCTGGGGAGGGGAGCTACGGGAGAAGAGGGTGTCAGCCTTGCCGCTGGCCAGGTGAGCAGCCTCACTGCACAGGACGATGGGGCTTAAATCTGCCAATGTCCACAAAGCTGCACATTCAATAAAACAGCCATGTTCTATCACTGCTGAGGGACAACAGGTAAATGACCCCAGAATCGCCAGGAACACTACATTATAGATGCTAAAAAAAACCTATAAAAATTCACAGAGAAAAGCTAAAAT